CAGCTTCCTTTAATGTATTTGCTCGTGAGTCCTAGCCATCTAGTTTAGTCCCTTCCGCACCGCGTGTAGCGGCGCGGGGATACTCTCAGAGATGGCACTGTAGTCGCCAGAAAAAAAAGTCAACAATTTACAGGAGCTACTTCGTCTGTCGGAACTACCAGCGACATACGCGTAGATTAAACTGCGCATTAGAGTTGATCACGTCTCGCTGGAAACGAGAATCGCGGACAGGCCGTGATGAGTTGCGATTGCGGACAGCGAGAAACAACAGATATTCGCGCACTATTTGCAACAAGTGTGCCGCAATTTCCATATAACAAGGATTTAATTTTCGGTGAGTAGTACACTTTGCTCTTTTCGTGATACTTTCCGTTCGTTATATTTCCCGAGTTACAGCTTTTAAATGTTTGTAGGGCAGGATGTAATGAGGCTCTGTTTGGGGTTAACTTTCTGCGTAGTTTATTTAGAACCGTTATTCCAAGTAGAGCCTATCTACACGTTATTGATGTTTATGTTCACGTTGACTGTAGCAAAACCATTTTTGTTGGTATGTAAGAGTCTTTGTTGTTTTATTTTAATAGCACATTTATTTACCTTCAGAATGAGATATAATTTGAAAAAAAAAAAACGTGTCGTAAATTTAGGAAACTGTAGTTTAATTTGTATATACATTTCCTCGATAAAAACTGTGAACACAAGGCACTTGCACAAAAACGAGAATACCCATTGACCTATAAATAGAGTCGGTCGTGGGAAAATCCTTGCATGCTGGGAAATCCCCATCTTTATTTAGTAACTCATATTCCCCGGTGATGGAACCAACAAAAAACACCCAACTCACAGAAAATGTTATTTGTCACCTATATATCAGTGCAAGCGAGACTAGAAATGGTTTATTCTCTCTAAACTTCGAAATACAATCTTAAAATCAAACCGGAAACATTTTATCGGCTACTGGACTGATGAAGTAAAATAGCTACTCATCAAAATTGTTGCTGCATTCGGATAACAACGTAAGAAGCACAACCGTCTGCAACTTGTCTGTTTAAGGAAAGCCGTGGTTATTAACGAAGAGAACAGTGGTAAGTAGAAGAAAGGGAGAACAGATTTGAAGTTTACACAATATTTTATTTCACAATCTTTTATTATATTTTAGATTATACACGGCTTTTTGTGAGTCGTCTGTACCTGTCGCTGAGCTATCGGTCCAATCGTGGCAGTTGACTTTAGACATGGACATTCACTGTCATCACCCGTTATGTCCCATACTCACACTGGACTATGACACTTATATTATAATTTTTGGTTGACATGTTCTGTTTTCAATAGACATACATTATGTTTGTTTTAATTTTTTAAAAGAGTTTTTAATCTTCTCTCTGTCTTAATAAACTCATATAAATCCTCGGTACTGTTTGGGGGGAGGATTTTATCTTCGACATATTTGAGTTCTTTAACTCATTCGAGCAAATTGATCTCTCATTTGCAGTCTATCTTACCTCCACTACTTCTCCACACTCCGTGGAAAAAAAAACCGGGCTGATCACAACAACAGATTGTGACGGCCCTGGTTGTCCTGAAAAGGAACATTGTATAGAGGCGTTATGACCTGGTGTTTGTTTGGCCTTGTCCCGGCGGTTTACAGATCAGCAACCAAGCAGCAACAGGGCACCAGCACAGCGACCAGCATGAGGCAAGCCAAGCACCAGCAACAGGGCACCAGCACAGCGACCAGCACGAGGCAAGCCAAGCGCCAGCAACAGTCAGCTAGTACCCATCGATAACATCACAAAGAGATCTGGATCACACCAGAACCAAAAACCACAATCACCGCAGCACAACAAGGAAGCAAACAACCATAATATCAGGTGTGACCACACACCACAAATAAAAGGAACCCATATAAGACAGCGAAGGAACCTTCTTCGATATAGCAGGCCTCCGGGCGGCTGAAAGAGGATCAAATTTGGAATTTTTGTTGGACAAATTGGAATTGGAATTGGAATTCTATAACTGGATTTCCGCCATAGATGATGAACCAACATTGTCACAAGTCATTTTTGACATGTGGCATTAATGTTTTGAGTAGATGTTTGACCAGATATTAACACAGCATGTTGATCGTGGTCAAAGGTTTTCAAAAAGTGTGTCTGTTTCACGACCTCTTGCAGCTTTGTATAGGCCAATCAGGTCTGAAGGGGAATTTGCGTGAGTGGACCCGTGTGTCATGTGTGACATTTTTACTTTAGCAAATTTAGCACATTAAAATAGACAATTCAACTGCAACTGATATGCAATATACACATATCATAATTACACTGAATATACATGACTGAGGAATGATATTACGATTAGTATACTACAACATGAAATTATACTGATGGTTAACAATTGATAACAAGCAAGTGACTTGCTTTAAAACTTTAGTAAATTTAAACATTTTTTATACAGTCAATGTAAAAGTGAAACGTACAAGGATTTTTCCTCCATAGCAGTTTTTTTTTTTTTTTTTTAAACAATACTAAAGTACCACTAAATTTATTCTGCTGCTGTACAACATACACATTTCATACACAAAAATGGCGTTCCATTGTGGGGGAAAACTAGAATAGACTCGCTGCCTACCTAATGAGCATGTCGTAAGAGTCGACTCACGGTGTCTTTCTTCGAAAACAGAATACGTTTGCCTGCGAGGAAAGGAACCAACAGTCTGCGCACAAATAAGTCAAATCTGTTTAATATATCTGCACCCAACAACCCGAACTATCTGCCAGAGTTTGCAGCTGGTGAACGAGAAGAAAAAGAAGAGAAACAAAAACGAAAACAAATAGTTGAGGAACAATATTAATGAACTGTTACAGCATATAATTATACTGTTAGTTGATAATTATAAAAGAGGTTAGATTATTATATTTTTGTTTTTGTTTTTGATACAGTATATCCAAAATGAATTATATATGAAGGTACTTAACTTATAAGTAAACACAGCCAATATTATAGCAAATTAGTCGACTGGCAAAGGTGTTACATGTATTTCTGTCTGAGAATTTGCTCCTAACGTTCATGATGTGCCATCATCTCCACATTGCCTAAATAAAAGCTGCTGTTTCTGGATTTATTACAAATTGTGGAGCAGCAATGTTGTACTCACTGAAAATAACAAGAGCTAGGTCCTTCCAATACTGGAAGGGTAAGGAGCGTTTATACGTTAGTGTTAACTTCACAATGTTAGGACACTCATTCTGACACAGGTCCTCCAAATGTGAAAAACAAGCACTTGTTTGTTTTGCTAGGACTGACAAACCACACTCTGAAACAATGTTCACAGACTGAAGCTAATTGGCACTGAGATCTCTTGACATCCGGTACACAGGTGCCAGCTCTACAACTTCATAGTATTCCAGCGGGGAGCTGTATGGTCTCGAGGTATGGCATCCGCCTCGAGTGCTGGAGTCCCGGGTACAAACCCCATTGAAGGCTGGAATTTTTTCACGTGGACTTCTAGTAATTTCCCCTGGTCTCTAGGCAGTAAGACCGAACTCCCGTGTCCATTGCTGCGCATGTAAATAATACCTTGGCAGTTGGAAATCGAAAGGAGTAGTTTAACGCCGTTGCCCGGGCAACATTTTGAGACTTCAAACACACACACACATCACAACACAACTTTCCCCCGTACATTTAAATTTAAATTTGATGTAATCCAACGCAGCAAGTTTGAAAATCTGGTATATCCACTGCACAATGTCCACTTGTGGATTTGTAGTTCGATTACATTTAGAACACAGCAATTTAAAATGCCACACATCACAGCACAAGACAACACGCTGGTTGGAAACGATGGACTCGGCCTATGACTTACGGAGCACATCCGAAAGGCGTTTCTGGAGAAGGCGGTGATTTGTTTCATCAGAAAGCCTGTGTTTTTGTCTTGATATTCCTCAAATGTTAGCGTCTGTGGCTTAGGCGTTACGAGCGCGCTTTGTAATGCCGGGGTGCCGGGTTCGATCCCAACTGCGAACCTTGCGCCTTGCGTTGGTTTCCACAGTGGTATCTAGAAGCCGACCGTCCAGGAAACAATGGCAAACTACTTGACGTAAATTTGCCTAGGAAAACCACACCAGCCAAAAAATGCTGGGGTTGGTTCTGCAACGTCCTGTAAAGGATACGCAACTAACTTCAACTTATTCCACAAATTTTAATCCTGAACTCAGTCTTTTTCTTCACATTCACCGGCCGTAAACTCAGGCGGAAATTTCTGGTTGTTCATTCACTTCTGAACTTTGGTCTTGTTCCAAAACCTCAATTTTGCGTGTGCAAGACATAGATCTGGCTATTTTTATGCAGACTGTTGGTTCCTCACCTCTCAGACAGATGCACAGTGGGTGTATCCCCCTCTCCCACAAAATGGGGCCATGGAATCAATACGGGGATAACTCAGTCTGAGACCTAGCTGTAGGAAATACAACTATAAAGATATGTAATGAACTCTCTAACTGTCCTACAGAAGATTCTCACAGTTAAAGATGCGATAAGCCAAGAACTCGTTTTGCGCCTTTGGCAATCGGGCATATAGTGCTAGACCTTAGGCACTTGATAGGTGATGTTATCAACATAGCTCCGGCTACCTTTACTTCCCAGGATATTCCCTTGTACCATTGTTTAGCAGGCTAGATTAAGGAACCAGGTAAAAAAAATTCGCCCCAATGCATATTTGAACCCTTGAACTTATGGCCAACTCTAAGATGAGGGCCCAACTAAATCTCCTCCGTTAAAATCCTCTTTCTTGTTCTTTTAATTCAAACTTTAATTGCAATTAAACTGGTTCGCATTATTACTTTACATACATATGTTAAAGTGCAAAATACACATGTAATGATACATTCAATTGAGTAAAGGTGTGTGTTTTTTTTTTTTCAACGGGGTATGCCTTATGATAAATTCTGAAGATATTCTTTTCCTTTAACAGTGGCCGGTCACTCGTGAAACCAGACTGTTGCAGAATGGAAGCAGATTGCAGAATGGAAGCAGATTGCAGAATGGAAGAAGATTGCAGAATGGAAGCAGATTGCAGAATGGAAGCAGATTGCAGAATGGAAGCAGATTGCAGAATGGAAGCAGATTGCAGAATGGAAGCAGACATTCAGCTAACCAACGATCATTGTAAGAAGAACCCCGGCCATACAACATTCATACCTTCAGACATGTTTAGCTGTGAACATCTTCCCTCTCGCTACCACGACACTGAACTTCTTGCCAGTTGCATTCGTTCTGAATCAGATCTTACTGTCCGTGTGACTGTGAGATATGTTAGTGATAAGAGACCTTCTACTGTGCCCGATACTGACCAGGTTTTTCCATTTTTTCACCGGAGAGGACAACGCAGAATGACTGTCGGAACCGGAAGGATACACTCAGTATACGGAACCGGATGGATATACTCAGTATACAAGTTCCCAGACAAGTACAACTCTCAGTTTAAAACCTGTCCATGTAGAGAATGCCAGTTATCTTCAGAACCAAAAAAACAATTTGGGTTTATTATAATCCAAACAGCAACCCATATAATCTCCAACGACCTTGAAGGAGAACATGCTACCTGCCATCTTTTCTTTAACAGTGGGAGCAGACCAGATGTCTGCAGCAATGTTGTCACGCTGTCAGGGACGTGGCGAGTGTCTTCTGACATCATCACTGACCGTTGTTCGATGATTCACGTCACCCACGACATGGACCTAGCGGCCAATTTGGAAAGGATGACGTGTTATCGAGATTACCTCAAGGAAAGCTACTTCATCAAGTCTCTTCTACATTGTCCCATAGAAGAAGCAGAAAGCCAAGATCCTCTAGTCTGCTTAGTGTCGCACCCACACGGATGTAGCTCTAATATCAGTCTAGGGGTCGCCGTGGGCACTAAGGTGAAGGAACCAGGCAGAGTCAGCTATATGTATGACACAGCAACTTGTCCTGGGTCCAGCGGGAGTAAGGTGTTCACGATATGGAAAGACTTGAGGCTGTGGGGATTTGAACACACACACAGCATAGGACGTTATGAGGAGCTCACACAGATCAGCAACAGCAGTCATGGAGTCGGATACTGTCCTCTTATTCGTAGTCCAGCAGGTAAGCATTTTAACAAAACAAATATGTTTTAATTATGTCTTTGTTAAACAAATAGGAGGTCGCTAGTGTATGCAAATATCAAATGGAAAAATCCCCACTGTGTCTATGTAAATTATAACCAGATAGATGGCTTAATCTGCTTTTGCTTTCTATATTTTTTTCGGGGTTGGGGGGGGGGCACGGGGCTGGCGGGAAAAGGGGGGGGGGGGGGGTAAACCTATCTTAATTTTCATCAATCAGGAACCCCCGGTCAGTATATTTAAAAAACAAATCGCGCCTTAGAAGATTTGAGCAAGTGACTATTCGACCGCGAGGCAAGAGGGCTACTCAATGTGTTACCTGGCCCCGCAATAAGATTTGTCTTCTTCTTCTTTTTTTCTTTGTCTTCTTCTCGTCCCTTTTCTCTTACTCCTCGTCATCCTCTTAGTTCTTCTTCCTCTTCCTCTCACTTCTGCTGTCCTACTATACCATGAAACACCGCTTTTGTAGACTGGATATAGTTTCGTTGCCTAGCTTCTGAGTTGAAGGCATGGCGTGACACTGTGAGCTTCGGATTTCTTTTGGAATGTTTTTTCGACAGTGACCAACGTGGTGGTGTGAATTGTAGATTCAGAAAATGGCGCGATGTCTGTCGTCGCAATGTTGGTGGTGCCTGTATGTGATTAAAATTGATCACTTGGGCAACTGCTGATCTGTTGGTGACTTCTGCTACCATCAATGATGAACTGCATTTCTAATGTCGGACTGTTTGTGTTAGCACTTCGGATGGCTACCGTATGATTAAATGCGTGTGTATGCTAGATATGCTGAGACAGCAGTCTGTCAAATTTTTTCACAATGGACTGTGATGAACATTCTGTGTGTTTTTCGTTGGCGCGGGAGCGGAGTAAAGATGGGGTGACCTGTTTGCTATGAAGCTGAAAAAAGACTACCAGATTACCAGGCACCGACAAGGATCCTGAAATACTTTGGGTAGATTTTTAATTCCAGATTTTGCCCGGGCAGCGCCGTTAGGCTACTCTTTTCGATTGACAACTACCAAGGGATTTTCTTTTCTACATGCGCAGTAATACACCCTGGCGCCCGGTCTTACTACACAGAGACCAGGGAAAATTACTAGAAGTCCCAGCCTTCACCGGGGGTTTAAACCCGGGACCTCCAGCCCTAGAAGAGGATGCCATACCTTGAGACCACTTGGCATCATTCTACTGAAGAAAATGATTGATATTACATGAGACAAACGGCTGTGGAAAGTCATGGTTACCAAAGCTAGCCACCATTGGCTATAAGAAACGGGGGGGGGGGAGGGGGAGGGGGTGGTGTTAAGTGAAACGAAGGACAAAAAGGCTGTTTTCTTAATTAATTAGAGATTCTTTTGTGTCACTCCTCGGTAAGACAGTTTTAACACTTGGCTCCAAAAAACATTGTCTATCTCATCGAATGGGTTAAGAAAACGGCTGGCATCTTTCAGTGAGATGTGTGTACAGATCTGCCTTCCGACCAGTGCACAAGTATGGTCCCATTGAGGACTGTGGGGCGACTCTACTTACGCTCTCCAAACCCAGAAAAAAAAAACCAAGTAACCGGACCTATTTGAAGAATCATAACAATGTAACTCGATGTCTCCGTTTGTCTTCTGAGAATCCACTTTGAAGAACAAAAAGACCCACCGTGTCCCTAATAAGCATGTCGTAGGAGGCGACTAATTAATGGTGTTTTCTTCAAAGTCGAAGTGTATCTATCTGGTAGGCAAGAAACCAACAATCTGCACACAATAAGCTATATCGGCACAAACGGGTGAGCACATAAAACTCGAGTTATGAATCAGGACCAAAGTTAAGGAGTTGACAAACAACAAAACTACCCACTGGAGTTTACAGCCGGTGAATGCTAAGTAACACAAGAAAATTAGAAAGTAAATATAGTCAGCCAACTGGATCAATCAAGAATATTCCAGGACAGGTACTCAACAACACCAAAGACCAGATGGACAAATGGGCCGATATTTTGAAATATTTCTAAACGGAATTGCTAGATAGATTATTTAGTAAGGTCTTGGGGACCAAAGAAAAACCAGCAGACCGGAGAGAAAGATATTTTGTAAAACTGAGGGGAAAAAAGTGACCGTGATCTACATGAGTGTGAAAACTAAAGAGGAATTATGTTGCTGTCAGTTACTGGGATTATTTTGAAAAAACATTTGTTATTGATAAAAAGCTAAGAGATGAACAGGCAGGCTTTCGTTGACACAGATGCTGTACTGATCAGATAGCCACATTACATATTATAATAGAGCAAAGCATTGAACTGAACTCAGCACTTTACATTGGATTTTTAGACTATGAAAAAGCTTTTGACAGCATTGATAGCGAATCTCTGTGGAAATTGATGGGGCACTATGGAATCCGACATAAAATTATATCTTTAATAGAGACAACACATAAAGACATGAAATGTCTAGTTCTTTATGGGGAAAGGCTAACAGATACTTTTGAAGTAAAAGCAGGTGTGCGATAGGGATGTCATTTGCCGCCTTTCCTATTTTTTACTGACAATAGACTGGATTATGAGGACAGAAACTGCTAACACCAAGAATGGAATTCAGCGGACTCCTAAAAACAGCTTGGTGATCTGGACTTCACTTATGTTATTTTTCTTCTGTCCCATTTAAAGGAATCAGATGCAAGATAAATTAAATATATTTGATGCGAGATCACAGCAGCTAAGTCTGAAAATCCATAAGGGAAAGGCAGAGATAATTTTTTTAAAAAATCGTGAGACAACAATGAGAAAACCTGATAGCAATATAACTTGAACGAGGGTTGGTATGACAAGACAAATGTCTGTCAGTTGGCGTTTTGCAGCCGTAGTTACTATCGATAGGAGTGTGAACGCTGTAATGTGTAAATAAGAACATGTAAGACAGATCTGAATCTACAAAGGATAGCTTAGGCAAGATACATTCAAGTCGCCACCCAGTCTGCTTGTGAGGCTTATTAATAAAGTAACAGACAAAGATGCCAGCTCGGCGCCTGTGTGTGTGTGGCGTGAATGACACTTAGCGATAGCGAAGTACAGAAAGGCTTGACGTGGGCTAGTTTGAGTGCCTAAGCTCCATTGAGGGTTAGAAAGGCAGAAGAAGAAGAACAACACAAAGGGTAACTAGGTCATGATTCAGAATTCTACAAAATACTGCTTTAAAAAAATCGCAAAGTTATCCAGTGGTGCTCAACTCTATAAACACAAAGTTATCCAGTGGTGCTCAACTCTATAAACGCAAAGTTATCCAGTGGTGCTCAACTCTATAAACGCAAAGTTATCCAGTGGTGCTCAACTCTATAAACGCAAAGTTATCCAGTGGTGCTCAACTCTATAAACGCAAAGTTAACCAGTGGTGCTCAACTCTATAAACGCATAGTTTATATTATGTACTCGTCAGTAGCTATGCATTTCTTTTTTTTTTTTTTTTGTATATAACTATTCTTTTTTTTACGAACAGTTTACTAACAGTTCACAATGGCTGCGTGGGGGTAAAGTTTCCCTCTCCGCTGTTAAGTATTTCATTGTTTGTAAGCTCTAAATGAATAATCAGAGGGTACAACCACATTGTTATTAACGGACTGTGATTACTGGAACTGTTTTGTTCCGCGCAGGTTCACCAGATAATAACAGTGAAGACCCTCCCAGCAACTCACAGGTGGAGCAAGAGAATCAAGGTTAGTTAGTGCCGGTGTTTGGTTACTAGTATGTTAATCGTTGTGTAGCAAGCCTGTATAGAATTTCATCCTCCTGATTTGTCTGTCCACAGTTCCCCTGCCTCCTGCATTTTCATGCCCAGAATGTTTTTAGTGTCGTCTGCCCACTGTTGCAAAGGTTGAACTTTGCCAGCTCGATGGAGAACCTTACTTTCCGTTCCTCACTAGACCAGCGTGTTATGTCAGGACAGACCAGAGTTTTACAGTTATGTCAGGACAGAGCAGTGTGTAGGTGTTATGACAGACTAGCGTGTTCATTTTATGTCAGGGCAGACCAGCGTGTTGATGTTATGTCAGGGCAGAGCAGCGTGTTAATGTTATGTCAGGGCAAAGCAGTGTGTTGATGTTATGTCAGGGCAGAGCAGCGTGTTAATGTTATGTCAGGGCAAAGCAGTGTGTTGATGTTATGTCAGGGCAGAACAGCGTGTTGATGTTATGTCAGGGCAGAGCAGAGTGTTGATGTTATGATAGGACAGACAGGCGTGTTTATATTATGATAGGACATACAGGCGTATTGATGTTATGACAGGACAGACAGGCGTGTTACGGTTTTGACAAGATAGACAGGCGTGCTGCATTTATGTCAGGACAGACAGGCATGTTAATGTTATGACAGGACAGACCGACGTGTTGATGTTTGTCAAGACAGACAGGCGTGTTGGTGTTATGACAGGACAGACAGGCATGTGTTGATGTTTGTCAAGACAGACAGGTGGTTGTTGTTATATCAGGACCGACAGGTTTACGTTAGCCCCTGTTGCTCTGATCCGACAGCTTCTTCACAATTTTTTGTTTTAAATGCACTGGTATTGCTGCCCCCCCCCCACCCCAACAAGTACTTTTCACGAAACTGCTCAGGTTGTGTGCTACACGTCAGCTGTGATTCTCATGCCTCACAATAAACACAGTGGAGCACCCGATTCTTTAAACATTAAAAAAAAAAAAAGACCAACCAGCAGTGTAAAATGACACGTGGGCAGTGTTTCCGAATGTTGATGCTAAAAAATGGGTCATTCTGTTTCTTTTTTCAAAGCTCAGATATGGTTATATGCCGTCATATTCTGCTAGGTGTTGCAATGTGTTTTTACAAAGGCTGGGTATCAGTGCCGCACATTGCCAACCAGTAGGGCACCAGACAGAAAATAACTACCTCTGAAATAGAAGTTCACTAACATGACAGGGCTAGAATACCAGCATTAGATAGAAAATTGGAATGCGACCGTGTCCGAATTATACAAACAAAGAATGAAATCGTTCGGCCAGCTAGAGAAATTGCAGATAGATAGAATATCTGGAGGGAAGGCGAGAGGAAGACTAGGAAAGATATGAACAAATGGTCAAGCAGAAACCTGCAAAGAGATGAGCAAATCCATCACCCAGGCCACCCTAGAAGCACAAAACAAATAGAGAAAACCACGAACCTGGGCTATAATTTCGTATCAATGAGACGACAAAAGAAGAAGAAGAAGAAGAAGAAGAAGAAGAAGAAGAAGAAGAAGAAGAAGAAGAAGAAGAAGAAGAAGAAGAAGAAGGAAGAAGAAAGAACGAAAAAAAAAGGAAAAGGAGGAAGGAGAAGGAACAAGGAAGAATAAGTAAGAAGAAGAAGGAAGAAAAAAGAAGGAAGAAGATGAAGGGAAAATATGGAAACAGAAGGAAGAAGTAGGAAGAAGAAGAAGGACAAAGAAGAAGGAAGAGGAAGAAGAGAAAAAAAGAAGGAAGAAGAAGAAGAAAAGAGAAATGGAAGCAGGAAGAAGAAGGAAAAAGAAAGGATGAATGAAGTAGGTCGGAAGGAAGGAAGAAGGTAGGAATAATTAAGGAAGAAAGAAAGGAGAAGGAAGGAAGAAGGAAGAAAAAAGAAAGAAAAAGAAAGAAAGAAGAATGAAAGAAGAAGAGAGAAAAAGGAAAGAAGAAGAAAGAAGGAGGACGGAAGATTTAAGACAGAAAAAAAGGAAGGAGGAAGAAGAAGAAGAAGAAGCTTGGTTCTGGAGCAGTGTGGCTTTAGCCTCCTTTTCTTCTTCTTTTCTTCTCTTTAACCCCCCCCCCCCAATCCTCCCGCCCTACTTCCCCTCCCCAGTGAAGCATAGACCCTCAACCAACTCACGCAGAAGCCATATCCTTTGGTACTGCATACAGCTCATCTCAAGTCCGCCTCATCTTGTACGACTCCACTGTCTAGCTCCCATTCTCATTGTGTATGTTCGCGCGCGTGTGTGTACGTGTGTGTTTGTTTTTTTATCTGCCTTTATTTCTACTCTCCTGAGGGCTGTTGATGTGATAGAAATATCTACGGACGAATGTCCCTACGACAGATTGGGTTTATAGATGTAGATGCCTAGAAAGTACACATTGAACACGCGGACATGCGGTGTTAATCTCTTTTATGATTTATGCTTTATATGTAACTGAAAACATATTAAATTACGAATATGTTTAATTCGCATCCTCTTCTGTCAACCAGGTCGAGGAGAGGTACAGGAGTGTCTCCCAGAGACAGATCTTCATGGCTGTTACATACTTTGCACAAAAAATCCAGGTCATCACAACTTTTTTCCTATAGATGAGTTTAGTAAAGACCATCTCCCTCCTGATAACCGCCATCTCGTAGAACATATTAAAGTCCTGGCGAACATCGTTGCTCTTGTTGCTGTGAAGAAGATCAGTAGAGAGAGACCGAAGACATTTCCTGGTACTGACACGAACTACCCCCAGACTCCGCAAAGAGGAAGTTCTTGGATATATAAAGTTCTTAGATTCGGAAACAGAAGTGGAGTTCGCATGGGAAAGTGTACTTGTGAAGAATGTCAAAAATCTGATGACCCAAAAGAAAATTTTGCTTATATAATAATACATACAGCAGCCCATGTTGTCTTTGATGACTTTGAAGGAAAACATACAACATGTTATCTTTTTTATCACAAGGGTAAAACTGTGGAGGCTTGTAGTGGGGTTGTTAAACTCTCAGGCATGTCACGGGTCTGGAGTGATGCTGAGAAAGATGTATGCAAGATGCTGTATGTGACACATGACCCGGATGTGATAGATCGTGTAGAAGAGGTCGTCAGAGAATGGGAGAGTGCACGGAGAAGTTTTGAACTCAGGAACAAGATAACGCCACTCAAGGAAAACTCACTGACCGATACCAGTCGTCAAGCTCTGGTCGTAGCAGTGTCCCATCCACACGGATGTAGCAAGCAAGTTAGTTTAGGTCACTGTGTCAGCATCGATAACACGGGTGTTGGTCAGACTGTCTGCGAGTACACGACCCCAACCTGCTCTGGTTCCAGTGGAGCTTATGTGTACGTGGAGGGAAGGGATTGGCAAAGTTGGGATGACAACATACATGCTGGAGCCCACGACAGGAACCATGGTATCAACTTCAGTAGCTGAAATATATATACAAAACCACATACCATGCAAATGTTTGACACATATAATCTGATATTAGCATATTATTCTGTATTTACATTCAGTATAAAGTGAAGAACATGACATTTTTTCCACGCCTTCACATATTCTGGGCATATAGGGCTAGACATATATTTTATAGACCAATTGGCACTGGGTGGGTGATGTGGTCAACCTCGCGCCGTCCGCCTTTACTTTCCATGACTGCTGCTGGTACCCATTCAAGGCTGGGTCGATCTAGGAGCCAAGGTCATTTTTGAAAGAAAATAAAAAGTCCATCAGGATGCGAGTCCACGACTTTCTTATCCGCCAGCGAGCGCCTAGCCGCTAATTTCAGTCTGGTTCAACCTGGGAGCCAATGTTATTTTAAAAAGAAACATCTGACTCGATTTGGACCTGAACACATGACATTCGGACCCGCAGGCTAACTTAAGCCACGACACCACGAAAGCTCCTAAGTTATTCTTGTAAATGGGTAATTGTGACTCTTTTCAGTCTACATAAACTTTAGTTGTAAAGAAAAATATCTTGTAATCAGAAGTTATGTAATTATTTTGATTTTGAAAGAAATATATTTAATCGAGTACAGTGTATCTGCGCATTTGAGGAGACCCACCCGGTTGAAAAAAAAATTTTAATATCATGAATGGGTCAAGTAAAAAGCAACTGATGTCACTGGTTGTACAGGATTTAAAGGGGGGGGGGGGGGGGGAGTGAAATATTACAGCATGTGTACAAGTTTTATTTTCATATACCCAAGCAAAAGAAAAGAAAAAAAAAACACTACAAGCTGAACCCCACCATAGAAGACATAAACCAAACACCAAACAGCACTATCACGTGTAAAAAAAAAACAACAAAAGCCTATTGTTACAACATACCCGAGGGTCCGTGCACAGATATACAAAGCAGGCACCCTCATAAACCATCTCTCACCCACAAAAAGCCTCTTGTATCAAAACACAAGGCTATGTAAACTCTAACTAACATCACCAGCAGGCTCCGCTAACACCTGCCTCGCCCCATGCAAGGCCAGATAATGCTGTTAGTTAGGGATTACCTTAGTTTGTAATGTTACCTGTTGTGTAATGGTTTACAATATTGGTTTCAATCATCATCATGTTTCACAGGAAATGGGGCGTCTACATAACAAATTATATAATTCGAATCAACCTTTACAGGTCACTGTCATTATAAATATGATTTAGTATTATGTATACACAGTGGGCGCCCCACGCTTTCATTAGTCGTGGTATTAAACTGTAGATGACTATTGGTAAAGATAATTAGCTGACATCGGTTATCCGATAAATTATACGATAAGATATACCTACAATATAAATAAGATAAAACACGCCATTGTTAATATATTATGTTGAACATACTATAGTATAAATTAGTTCAATATCCCATAGTATAAATTATTGTATATCTCTTTAGTGCACTTGTTAATTGCATACAAGGTTAAGTAATAGAAAGCTTTATAAAAAAAAGTTTTGTTTTTAATTTTTTTAAAATTCTTTTAACCACATGCCATAATAATAAAGCTGTTGAAAGCTTTTTTAGCCGAAATGTTCAGTTTGCTATTAGTAATTGGGTATTAAAGAGTAATTAGCTATTTCTGCCTCAAATTCCAGTCTGGGTGTTGTTTAGAGCAAGTATATTCAAGTCTGTATGAGTTACAGCAATATGATTTTGCCACAGAACTAGTTGACATAATAACTGGAGCAAAATGGGTTGATGTAACAGCAGAAATGGACAAAGGAAGGTCCTGGCCGCCGCTAACACTGAGCAGAGACTGCTTCTGTTCCAGGCACTTGTACTTTCTCCCATCAAATATGCTCAAGCCATTCTCATTGTCAGCCATACTCAGACTGAAAGTCTTGAGAAGGTGAGAAACGAGGAAATGCGCATTATTCTGGGGTGCACTGAAGACAGCTCTTGTGTAGCAATGAGGTATTATCTTGACTTCCCTACCATGAACTACATACAGGATCAAGATCTGGAGGGCTCGTGCACACCTCAAGATAAGCTCAAATCTGAAGCACCCTTTGCACCACATGCTCTTCAAGAAAAAGGGCAAAAGGCTAAAAAGGGACAAGTCATGACTGGGTAGGACAGAGGATGGCATCATGCAGGTTTGCATCCTTACAGACATCTACCCAGGTGAGGTATGGATACCAGCGTCTAAAGCGCCTAATCTCACATTCTCCTGTGTCGTGACGCTCGATAGGAATTGTTGGGGACAAAATCCAGCTGCTGTCAATGCCGAGGTATGCGCGCTTATCAGTGACAAGTCAGATGAGACAGATGTGGTGATGATCTTCACAGACTGGTCTGTTATACAAGGACATAAGAGTGCATGGGCATTTACAGCTCGCCCTTCAAGCAGAACAGTTCAAGAAGCCAGCGGTGCCTTCTCCATGACTACCAGTAGCATGACGAGGGAGGTGATGGCGGTGACACAAGCTTTCATGTGGCTAGAATCACAGCCCTATTCCCGTGTGTGTGTGTGTGTGTGTGTGTGTGTGTGTGTGTGTGCTGAGGGATTCTTTGAGCATGGTCTGGCTGGTCAAGGCTGGCTGGTTACGCAGACAGAGGTTTGAGTCATTGCAAAACTCTATTTTGTATGCACTTACTTTTCATATTCGTCCCAGGGTATGCAGGTGTTGTTGGTAATGAAAGAGCTGATAGACTGGCAGGTGCTGCATCAATTTAGGATGACCGGCCCATGGATTACGCAGACGTTGTCGTGGCCCTTAGTGAGATGGGACGTTCGGAGGATTTTGAAAGCAACGTGTCCACATCAGTGCTAAGAATACGAGAATTGGGAGTTAAAGTCGGCACAGCCAAGCATGAGAAGCACACCGGACGCATATGAAGTACTGTAAACCAACATAGGACTGGCACTATTAACCGCGCGACGCTGATGAATATGTTGAGAGGGGAATCTGAGCGTCTACGGATGTGTCCAGAATGCTGTGAAGATAATCCTTCTCATAACTCAAAGGATGGTCAGAAGCATTCACGATGTATATAGTGAAACGTGCTGTGAGTAGTTGAGTATTGGTAGAGTTAAAAGGGGATATGTGGGATTTGTTCCTGCTGCCTGAACGGGCGCGCTGTGGTTTTAAACCTTCAGTTAAAAGCCCAGAGTCGAACACCAGCCAGTCAGTCAATCTAGGATCCGTAGAGCTCACCGACAACAAGGCTGATAGGCTGGACAGTTACCTGACCGATGGTACCTAGCTCTACTATGGGCTTCAGAATGAAACAGGCGGTTTGTCCTGAGATCTGTGTGGGATATAGAGTTTGCCCTGGGTTCTTTTTTGGATGTGAACAAAGTGTTTTATACACATGCCCTCATAAACAGTACCAGGTATTATACGCGGGCCATTAGAAAAAGACTCTGCATAGGATTAAAATCTGGCTAGGCGCATATACTTATTTAGAATTTTTTTTAAAGTTTTTTTTTTATAATGTTCGTGAATCCTTTTTAAATTTAATAAAGTTTTAGTTAGCATCGCCTCCCGTTTGTTGTGTTTTAATGTATGCATTGTTGATCTCTATCAACAGCCTGTATTATGAGTGATACTTCCCAATCCTTACCTACAGCCTGTATTGTTAGTGATACTTTTCCCAGTCCTTACCTACAGCCTGTATTGGAATGATACTTTCCCCAGTCCTTACCTACAGCCTGTATTGGAGTGATACTTTCATCAATCCTTACCTACAGCCTGTATTGGAGTGATACTTTCATCAATCCTTACCTACAGCCTGTATTGTGAGTGATACTTCCCAATCCTTACCTACAGCTTGTATTGTGAGTGATACTTTCCCCAGTCCTTACCTACAGCCTGTATTGGAGTGATACTTTCATCAATCCTTACCTACAGCCTGTATTGGAGTGATACTTTCATCAATCCTTCCCTATAGCCTGTATTGTGAGTGATACTTCCCAATCCTTACCTACAGCCTGTATTGTGAGTGATACTTCCCAATCCTTACCTACAGCCTGTATTGTGAATGATACTTTCCCCAATCCCTACCTACAGCCTGTATTGGAGTGATACTTTCATCAATCCTTACCTACAGCCTGTATTGGAGTGATACTTTCATCAATCCTTCCCTACAGCCTGTATTGTGAGTGATACTTCCCAATCCTTACCTACAGCCTGTATTGTGAATGATACTTTCCCCAATCCTTACCTACAGCCTGTATTGTGAATGATACTTTCCCCAATCCTTACCTACAGCCTGTATTGTGAATGATACTTTCCCCAATCCCTACCTACAGCCTGTATTGGAGTGATACTTTCATCAATCCTTACCTACAGCCTGTATTGGAGTAATACTTTCATCAATCCTTCCCTATAGCCTGTATTGTGAATGATACTTTCCCCAATCCTTACCTACAGCCTGTATTGTGAGTGAGGCTTTCCTTAGTCCTTACCTACAGCCTGTATTGGAGTGATACTTTCCCCAATCCTTACCTACAGCCTGTATTTTGAGTGATACTTTTCCAATCCTTACCTACAGCCTAACCCTTCCTTATCTACAACCTAAAGATCCTGTGTGTTTGTCCCCTGAGATATTGTCTTGCGGGATATGTATGGCACGAGTTTTCTACAGATTGAGACATCTTTTTGTTTGCAGTAAACCGCAATAATCGCAAGAAAGAGGGTTGTGATTTCTTCTTTTTTTTTTTTTTTCATAAATTAATAGATAAAGTTCAATCCCACTAGGACACGACGAGCGATAAACATCCTGTGACACAAAGTGCCACCATTCTGATGAGAATCACCAAGGCGCAAGTCCTAAAACACCCGTTTAACTATTAGGTTATATTAGCCCCCCCCCCCCAATCCCCTCCTCCCTCGACAATAGCCGGAGTGGGTCATAAAAATAATAAAAACCTGCGTCCCATATTTATGAATGAAACAACAGATCCTTCAAATTTGTTCCCACCGGTGATTCATCTA